AATTAATCTCTAATGTTAGTTTGTAAGAATTAAATTGACCTTTCTCTATTGCTACACTTATTACACCACCACAGGACATCAGATTAGCCTTAGAAAATCACTTTATTACAGTAGAACCTCGAAAACTCGGCCTAATGTGGACCGAAGAGTGGCCGAGTTTGTGAAAATGCCGGGTTATCGGGAATGGGGTTAAAAAAGGATAAGTATGCATGTTTCCTCAGAAAATATTGTACTGTACTTGTATGTATTGTTTGCTTGAGAATACAACAGAGAATAAACTGCCCAAATACCCTTAAACAAAGGAAAAGCACATCCTTTATGAAGGCATAGAGCCTTTACTACATGAAAATGAAAATTAATGAATACACTGTGTACAGTAATTTACCTGATAAGACAGACCTCAGAAAAATACTTTGAGGCATAAAGCTGTCTATAATGAAAATTAATTAACTAAGGATTTTTTTTGCCCTGCCAGGGTGTGGCCGAGTTATCCAGAGTGCTGGGTTATCAAGTGCAGAGTTTTCAAGGCTCTACTGTATTTGAAAAATGAATGCATTTCGGACCTTAACTCCCTCTTCAACATGTTGTACAATAAATAATTTTGAGATTGACGTTAGCACATTTATGAAAAATACAGTGAAATTGCGACAATTTGTAAAATGACAATGATAAAATATTGGTTACAGATCTCACAGAAATTCTGATCTATAACCAATATTTTATCATTGTCATTTTACCAATCGTCGCAATTTATTGTACAACATGCTGAAGAGGGAGTTAAGGTCTGAAATACATTCATTTTTCAAATAATAAAGTGATTTTCTAAGACTAATCTGATGTCCTGTGGTGGTGTAATAAGTCTAGCAATAGAGAGAGGCCAATTTAATGCTTACAAGCTAATACAAGACTAGACAGGAAGCATATCATAGTAATCTCTAATGATCATAAAATACACTTCACAATAGCATTCAAATAAAATAAACTAACACTTCAATGTTGTGGCATTATAAATTGCGACTTTTTAGATTTTAGACATACTAGCACTTTCGATAGCTTATAGCTACCATCCTCAGGCGAAAAAATCAAATACAATTATTTTCGAATGTTCAGCTTTTGGATGGACTTTTCAAATTATCAAAGGCACGTGGATGGAATACAGCAGCAGTTTCCAAAGTGGGCTCCGTGGAACCCTAGGGAACCGTGGCTTCCTTATGGGCACCACAAAATATTATAAAATTTTCATAATTTTAATTCTATTCTCAATTCAATGTGGTAAGATNTACTTGCATATATTTGGATTTAACTAAATTAACATCAAAAGACAGTATGTGTTTATTAATTGTATTAATTTGGCATTGTGTTCATCAAGTTCATTAATCTAACTGGATTTTTATCAAACAATGCATCATTAAACTCCTTGTAAAAAAAAAATTCAAATTAGCTAAATATTTAGAAATAAACAGCAGTGTTTGGTAAAAATAGCCTCTCTAAGTTGCAAATATATGAATGTTGTACAGAGTTCAAAGCAAGAAAACTGATCACTATAATGCCAAAATTCTATAACAACCTCTTGTATATATCACTAAAGGAAGAAGCATTCTGAAAGAAAAATCTACAGAAAGACACAGCATCAATTTCCTGTATGGAAAAATGGAACTACACACTTGTGAAATTAATCTCTAATGTTAGTTTGTAAGAATTAAATTGACCTTTCTCTATTGCTACACTTATTACACCACCACAGGACATCAGATTAGTCTTAGAAAATCACTTTATTATTTGAAAAATGAATGCATTTCGGACCTTAACTCTCTCTTCAGCATGTTGTACAATAAATAATTTTGAGATTGACGTTAGCACATTTATGAAAAATACAGTGAAATTGCGATGATTGGTAAAATGACAATGATAAAATATTGGTTACAGATCACACACAGAAATTCTGATCTGTAACCAATATTTTATCATTGTCATTTTACCAATCATCGCAATTTATTGTACAACATGCTGAAGAGGGAGTTAAGGTCTGAAATACATTCCTTTTTCAAATAATAAAGTGATTTTCTAAGACTAATCTGACGTCCTGTGGTGGTGTAAAAAGTCTAGCAATAGAGAGAGAGGCCAATTTAATGCTTACAAGCTAATACAAGACTAGACAGGAAGCATATCATAGTAATCTCTAATGATCGTAAAATACACTTTACACCAGCATTCAAATAAAATAAACTAATTAATACTTCAATGTTGTGGCATTACAAATTGCGACTTTTTAGATTTTAGACATACTCACTAGCACTTTTGATAGCTTATAGCTACCATCCTCAGGCGAAAAAATCAAATACAATTATTTTTGAATGTTCAGCTTTTGGATGGACTTTTCAAATTATCAAAGGCACATGGATGGAATACAGCAGTAGTTCCCAAAGTGTGCTCCACGGAACCCTAGGGAACCGTGGCTTCCTTATGGGCACCACAAAATATTATAAAATTTTCATAATTTTAATTCTATTTTCAATTCAATGTGGTAAGATGCAATATCTAGAGATTGTGTTATTGGACCAAGGCTTTCAAAAGTGCCTTGGTCCAATAACACCATTAGTCACAGAATACAGCACATAGCAGAGGACTTCAATGATGATCAGTTAACCACTTGCATACATTTGTTCCGCTTGGAAATTCATAAGTAATTGATTTTTTATATTAAATAATTATTTCCACTCAAACGCAAATCTGACATCCAAAAAAATTGCCAGGAAATAATTCCCATGAAATAAAACCCTTCAAAAAGTGTTTTTACAAAAAAGTATATAAAAAAGTAAAAAATAATTTAAAATAAATGCTTTTATTTGAAAAATATAGCTGCACTGATTGTTATTCTTTTATTTAATAAGGCGTGATATTTCACATGTGCAGTCTACATTGTTTTCAAACTGGTTGACCTTGAGAACAGCTGGTGTCAGCTTTCCCGGATAGTTCTCATACACCTCAGGGTAATATTGGTTTAAAGCAGGGGAACTAACTTACCACATCTATTCAAATATAACACAAAATTTTCGATTTTTATGCTATTAAAATATGTAGAGACTGAAAAAAGTATGGGAAAAAATTTTACTGAATATAAAAGAAATAAACCTGCTGATGTCATAAAAACATCCAATAGCATTTAAAAAAACTTTACAGACATCAAATCCGTGAAATACAAGTTTAGAACGATTTTATTAATTTGATAAAAAAAA